AGCACTAAACCTTAGAGATAAATAAAAACCTAATTCTAAAAATAAGTTCAAGTGACATATAGGAAAGGAGGAAAAGGGAAACTGAGGAATTAGAAAATAATAACAGTAGATTTTGTTATAATATATCAATAATGTATGATATAATGTCAACATGTAAAAATATAACATTCCTACATACTGGCAATATACAATCAGAAACCAAAACTAAAGTCATAATACCATTCATAATAGCTTCAAAAGTTACTTTGTACAAATTTAACAACAGCAGCTTCCCAGGTGGTGCACTGGTAAAGAACCTGTCTGCCAATTCAGGAGACATAAGAGATGTGGGTTTCATCCCTGGGTCGGGAAGATCCCTTGGAGAATGGCATGGGAACTCACTCCAGTATTCTTGCCTCAAGAATCCTGGAAACAAAGGAGCCTGGTGGGCTATATATAGTCCATAGAGTCACAAAGAGTTGAATGCAACTTAGCATGCATGCATGCAACAACAGTATTAGACATACAGAAACTGCATGCTAAAACTATAAAACACTGATAAAAGAAAATCTCAACAAATTAAGTATTCATGGAATAGAGTGGTTAATATGTGGTTAATATGTGTTAATATGTGGTTAATATGTCAATTCTCTAAGCACAATTTCAGTCAAAATTCCCACAAGATTTTGGTTTTCAAGCTATTTTTTAAAACTATTTTTACAGGTAGAACTTTTATGGAAAAGCAAAGGGATCAGAAAAGCCAAAACAATTTGAAAAACAATAAAGCTGTTTGACTCACACTGAGTTCAAGGCTTATTATATAGTTGCAGAAATCAAAACAGTGTAGGGTTCACAGAAGTTTAGAAATTCATATTAATGGAATAAAAGAGAGTCTTGTAATATACCCACAGAAATATAGTCAGCTGATATTTAACAGTTACAAAAGCAATTTACTGGAGAAGGAATAGTCTTTCCAAAAATGATGTTGATACGACTGGACATTTATCTTTGTAAATAATGAACTTCAACCTATAACTCATACCCTATACGGAACTTAACTAAAAATGAATTGCAGAGCTAAATAGAAAGCTTTTCAAGAGAAAACACTGGATAAATACTTGTGACTTCAGGTCAGAAAAATAGATATTAGATATGACATCAAAGCCATAGTCCATAAAAGAAAATCGATTAGAAAGTTGAACTTTACCAAATTAAACCTTTTGTCATGCAAAAGACACTATTCTAGGAATAAAAAGGCAATATACAGACTGGGAGAAATCATATATTGATTTTTGCAAATCATATATTTGATTAAGCTCTTGCATATAGAATATATAAATAATAAGTATTATTTAATAAACAATCAAAAAAAGAGTTGAAGAGACATTCGTAAAAGAAAATATAAAGGCAGAAAATAATTATGTGAAAGGTCATTACCATTAGTCATTAGGGAAATACAAATTGATATCACAATGGAATATCAATACACTCCTATGGGAATGGTCTTAAAAAAGTGCTGACAAAAACATGGAGCAACAGGCTCATATGAATTCCTCAGAGGAATAAGAATGGCATAGCCACTCTGGAAAACAGTTTGGCAGTTTCTTAGTTAAAAGTACATCAAAGATACACATAGTAGGGTCACTCCCTACTATGGGTATTTACTCTAAAGAATCAAAAAGCTATGTTCACATAAAAATCTATTTGCAGCAGAAAATTATACATAGTCGCAAAAATCTAGAAAGGACCCAAGTAGTCTTCAAGAGACAGACAAACTGTAGCAAATCTATACAATGAAATTTTCTTGTTGTTTTGTTACTAAGTCAAGTCCAACTCTTTGACCCCACTGACTGTAGTCCACCAGACTCCTCTGTCCATGGGATTTCCCAGGCAAGAATACTAGAGTGGGTTGCCATGTCCTCTTCCTAGGAATCTTCCTGACCCAGGGATCGAACCTGTGTCTACTGCTTTGCAGAAGGATTCTTTACCATTGAACCACCAGGGAAGCCATATGATGCAATATCATTTAGCAAAAAAAAAAAAAAAAAAAAAGGAACAAACTGGATGAACCAACATGAATAAATCTCAAAGGCATTATGCCAAATGAAAGAAGCCAGTTTCAAAAAGTTATAGCTTATATGTTTCCATGCACATGACATTCTGAAAAAAAGGCAAAGCTCTAGGGAGGGAGAACAAATCAGTGGTTGTCAGGTGTTAGGGATGGTGGGAGGATTTGACTACAAGTGGGTAGGACTAGGAAATTTTTTGAGATGATAGAACTAGGCTGTATCCTGACTGTGGTCATAGTTACTCAAATCTATTTGTATATGTGTGTTATAACTCAAAATACTATGCTGAACATGTACTATATATAAATTAAAAACAAAAAAAATTCAGTCTTTATGTGCAAACTAACTTCAATGAATAAGAAGACATGTTTCCATCTTTCCTTTCTTATTGTTTCATTATGATACTTCTGGGGCTTCCCTCCTAGCTTAGTAAAACATCTGCTTGCAATGCAGGAGACCCCAGTTTGATTCCTAGGTTGGGAAGATACCCTAGAGAAGGGATAGGCTACCCACTCCAGTATTCTTGGGTTTCCTTGGTGGCTCAGACAGTAAAGAATCACCTGCAATGTGGGAGACCTGGGTTCGATCCCTAGGTTGGGAAGATCTCCTGGAGGATGAGGAGGCATGGCCATCCACTCTAGTATTCTTGTCTGGAGAATCCCATGGCCAGAGGAGCCTGGTGGGCTACAGTCCATGTGGTCAAAAAGAATCAGACACGACTGAGTGACTAAGCACAGCACAGCACATGATACTTCAAGTTTAATTTTTAACATCATATTTCATTAGAACACTTAATACTGAACATGTTTCCAAGAAAGCTCCCTGAGACTGGAAGTTTGATGTTCTCATTTCATTCACCAAGCAGACTGCCTGTCACACACACAGCACACACAGCAGTAACTCAAAACACAATTCCTAACTGAATAAATGTTTCACAAAATAACCCACGACCCCCAAAACATCATTACATGACCAAAAGTTTATACTGATATTTAGCACTCTTAAAGGTTATCACCTCAAACTTCACTATTTTTTAATAAATTAAAACTGATCTGAAAATAGCTATCTTACAATGAGTATCACATTAATAAATTTAAATGAATTTCAGGAGGAAAAATCCACACTGTTAATGACTCAGCATTCAACTGATAAATGATAGAAAATTTAATTTATAGAGATACTTGTGACACACACATATTTCAGGGTGAACAGACTAGGATTCTAAAAGTTTCAAAACTTTTTTTAAAAGGCTTTATTATTTTTTCTTTAGTTCTAGTTCATTGATGAATAAAATAAACCCCAAATAAACACCACTGACAACTAACCTCTGCTTGTGTTTTCTGGATTAGATTAGTCTCATGATTAGTTAGATTAGGTTTCATACCTAATTCATTTTATCCAAAAAGATCACTAAAGATTGTCAGAGAAAGTACTAACACATGCTATACCACAGATAAACCCTATGAAAATATTATGGTAAGTGAAAGAACTTAGTCACAAAGAACCATATATTATATGATTCCATTTATATGAGATGTCCAGAATAGGTAAATCTATAGACACAGAAAGCAGATTAGTGGTTAGCTAAAGGGTGGGAAGCAATGCAGGTAACAGGTAAACTATATACGGTTTTTTGAGGGAGTGAGTAATGAAAATATCTAAAATTTATTGTGATGATGGGTATACAGCTACCTGAATATTCTAAAAACCACTGGGTGAACTACATGCCTTGTGAATTATATCTCAACAAAGCTATCAACAACTCTCAGGGAACATATCTGGGACAAATCTATAAAATCTATAAAAATTTGCAAGATAAACTTTATTATCAGCATCAATCATTTAATATTAATAGAGTGTAGTGCATTTTAAGAGATAATTAGAAGTATATATTCAAATCTGATGTGATCATTTCTTCAAAAGTTTATCATCACATGGAAAAGGTGGTAACTTAAGTTCCATGTATTATTATATAATATGTAAAATAAGATTCTAATACAGGGATGACAATTCAATGATCTTTAATTACATTATGCCACATGATACTAAATTCTAGTAATCTAAAAGACATCCTGTCTTTCAAAAAAAATCACATCATCTGAGTATCAAAAATTAAATAAAGAAATAGCTAAGTAGCAAAAAAGGCTAATTATGTTGGTCTAACTCTTTTTTGTTTCCCCAAAAAAGTGCTCTTTCTATGGCAAGCTGAATATAATAGGCTGTGAATTAGAAGATCAAGGAAGCAAACTGTATGTTTTCTAAAATATGAGTATCCTTCATCAAGTTTTATACTTAGGGCAGCTAAAAGACCTATGTGGAGGGATCAGCATTAAGCCCAAAGGACACACAGTGCACAGCAAGAAAGAAAGCAATTCCCTCGTGTCGTTTGCAGGTCACTACCAAGGACCATGTTAGCAGATCCATACCAGACCCTTAACAGGCAGTTCTGCTGCTACCAGTAATTAGCTTGGACAGCTCTGGCTCCAAGAATAGCAGCAAGGCTACACCATAATGAGCTCAGCTGGGATTAGCAGGACAGGGCAGGGAACCAAGAGAGCTCAGGCATTCTGCATCGCGTATGTATCTAGGAGATCAAACAAGGATGGCTGGCTAGGTTATCCCCTCTCCACCTCATTCCAGAAATGAAGCACGGCAGTGTCTAAAATACAGGCTAATGAAGAGCGACACCTCCAACAGATGAGAGCCACATTAATTAACACAATCCCTAGATCATATAATACAGTTTCGGCAAGAGCTAGCAAATGTGCAACTTGTTATTGCATTATACATACATATATATTAAAAAGTCAATCTTTTTTCTTTACTTTTACTGGCAAACCAGATTATTTCATTTTCTAAATTTTACAACGAATTTCTCTCATGGCCTTTAAGATAGAAAACATTTCTCTCAGATGTTTACCTAAGCACACATTATTTAAAAAAGAAACTTACTTTTGAATCATTAGCTCCTGGTTCTCCCTTTTGAAATAGGCCAGTTCATTCCATACAGCATCAGAATCTTCATGTTGAAGTTGTTGAGGATCTACTCTCTTTACTTTCCTGATTTCCATCCTGTTTTTAAATTGAAATTGCTTTCTTACTTAACATGTTCAAAGTGCAATAAAATTCATTTACACATTCCCTAAAATTGAAAAATATCTACTAAGTATCTCCTTTTTTTTCTTACAAATGAAATGAGACTTTTTATTGAAATTAACTTTCTAATGATATTCATGCCATAACTTCAGGGTAATCATTTGGAATTGAGACTTCTCTTGAAGTATAGCTAGTGTCACATAGGTACCCAATTTCTATTGAGGTTCACTATGGAAAGAATTTCCTAAAACCTAAGCATGTAGAAATTAAAATCTTAGATCATGATTTCCTAAACTGCTACTATGGAAAGTAAACTTTTAATTGGACACATGATATTCTCTGGTCTATTTCTCTCATTCATTCTACTAGTAATAAAACATACATTGCAAAAATGTCACAGTTTCTAAAAAAGGACTATAAGCAATCCACACATCTAGAACTTGCTTCCAACCAGTCTGACTGTGGTTTATGTGTTTTGTCTTAAAATAAGCAGTTATCAGTGAACATCAGATAGTTAGCAAGTAGTCTTCATCCTTCTGGTGACTACTAGAAAGTGCCTGCTAAGTCACAGAGGCTAAACCCAGGACAAACAGATTTAACATTAGTTTACTGACAAGCGATATGAAACACTTTCTGTTCTTCAACAAAAAAAATTAGATGTGACAATTATCTACAAAACATGCCAAATGCCCTTTATGTTCTCATTTTCTGTACATAAAACAAACTCTTCATTTTTATTTTGTAAAAGTGCTGTACTGGCCAATTTAGAAACAGTATTTCTCTATAGAACAGACCAATGTGTATCATCAACATTGCCCTAAAGGATCTATCTCAGAAGATGAGAGGGTAGTAGATTTTTCTGTACTCATTCAGTCCTTTGCCCTCTGTTGATACTGTTAACAGGGGAGCCACTTACGACTAACCAAGATCTGAACACCTGTTCGGAGCAATTGAACTGAGACCGCCCATTCATTCAGATAAGCTGCAGAACTAACTGATGGATAGTAAAGATTTTCAAACTGCATACTAGGTTGAAATAGTTTTAAGACAGTTAACTACACATGTTAATTTCATATTTCTCATATATTTCAAATAAGTAAACACTTTGAGTTATATACATTGTAATATCAGCATTTTGTTTATTTAAAGTAGTTTTTTAATCACATGGATATGAACTATTTTTGCTTTAAGATATACTTTTATTAAGTTATTCTATAGATATTAAAAGTATATACAATAATTCATCATCTATGCTCATGATTTCTGCAAATTATAGGAAAATGCATAGTTATTATAAACATTTCTATTTTCATTTATTATATTCTCTATGTAAAGATTCTCACTAAAGATCTGACTATGAAATGATTTCTTTCAAATCAAACAAAAGCCATTAAAGCACCTATATGATGCTACTCCATTCTAGTTAATATTTAGGGAAATGCCTTTATGAGCTATGTAACTCACATGCCACTGCCTTCTTCCCACTGTTTTAATTGCTCTTTTACTGCTCTGTAGTTGGTCTGTAACATCTGTAGCCTTTCTTTGCGTTTTTCATGGGCATCTCTTAGCTCATCATTTTCTTGGTTCTGTAGAACACAAAAAAGCAAGTATACAAGTTTGAAGAATACATAAGCATAATGTTACAGATAAAAGACTACCAATCTAAGTATAAAATTCAAAAGAAAATAGCATGTAAATATAATTTGTAATAATCATTTAAGCAGAAGTAAATTTGTGATTTATTTACAATTTATTACAAATATATTAATGTAGTAATCATTTATTCCTAAGGTCAAAGAACAGATTTACTTGATAAATTTGAGATACTCACTGCATTTTGAAAAGTCATTTAAGTAATCTCAAAATTCTGGCATCAAATTAATTTCATTCTTTCCTTTTTGTTAATTAGATATATACACATATTTCTGGATCAATCTTACATATTAAAATTTTTTTCTTTTCCAAAATTTGTCCATACATAAAGTATGACTATTTTGTTATTTGTAAGTGCACATATAATTAGTACAAGGACACTAATCATAATAAGACCAGTTCTCTAACCCATGGATTCATAATTAGTTTGTTAAAATGCACAAAGATTACACAGGAGGAAGAAAATCAGTTTGGACCTATGTTAAAAGTGACCCAGTTTAACATTGTGGGTTGAAACATAAAGAACTGAAATGGGAATGTTGGACTCAGCACTCTTGAAGAAATCAGAATAGACAGTTCAAATATTACTAGGGTAGACAGTTATAGTCAATGACTTCTAAATGTTTTAAATAAAACACATGCATAAATCTTCACTTTTCAACATGACCATAAAATGAACATATATATAGGCCAAACTGTCAGTCCTCAGGGGATGTATTTATGTTACTCATGAACTGTGTTTCTCAAAGTAAAATAAGTAAGGTGATGAGTCTTTTATTTTACCCTGGTCATTTCAAATTTGTTTTTTAAACTCTTCATTTTCTGTATGAAAGAACTTGCATACTTATTCAGTGCAGGTAACCAGTGCTCTCTAAAATTATAGTAAGCTGAGAGGAGTGGGAACATGGCAGCCAGAAAGATCTGAATTCCATTCTTGAAGTTTTCTCCTGGTAGCTGCATAATCTTAAGAACACTATTTAAATTAATTCAATTTCTTTTACTATAGAATGTGGAAAAGAACACAGAAATTTATACCATGATAACAAAATTAAGTGAAGTTAACATACAGGCAAAGCTACCAGGTCTGTTCTTACCCAAGAGAGGCACAAAGCAAGTGAGTTTTTTACTCTGTCCTCTTCCCAAGAACTAACTCTGATGCCCTTATCATTTATAAGCCAAATTTATGGTTTCACTGACTTACCGGTCTCTCATTACAACAACGAGATAATATCTTACAGAGTCAGAATTATTTTTCTCCAATTCTATCTGTCTCAACAGTATAGATATGTCATCATTATAATCTGAATATACATCTAGAGGATAACTTCAATAATTCTCTTAAGTAGTTACTAGGAAGTATTTGAGGCATGTGTGTACCAAGTGGTCCATACATCATACGGGAATGCAAGTGCTCGACGAAAATGCTATCTCTGAACAGGGGAAATTAGAATAAATGTTATCCTAAAGAATTTTAGGAGATATGAATCATAGCCACTGCATAGTTACTTGCTAAAAAGTAATATGGTGTAATATCATGATTAAAAATTCAAGATACTGAATTCAATTTTGTTTTAAGTGAAGAACCATATACTAAGAACATATTATATGCAGGGTGGTAAGTGCTGCTAAGAGTTCAACACCTGCTGCTCAAATTTACTAAATTTTACCTTGACAATCTACTTAAATCCAGTGTGTTTCAATTTCTGCATCTTCAAAATAGGAGCTACTGATATCTCTTCTTCTAAGACACAAAGAATGATGTAAATTTGATCTTGAGTTTCCCATACTGTTGGTAAACAATCTGACCTCTTTGACCAATAAACTTCTCATTTTCACAGATGTGAAATAATTTAAGTTAGCCAAATATAAGAATGATAATCAATAATCTTTTCTCATAAATTATTTTTTTAATTAAAAAAATTTTTTCCATTTATTTTTATTAGTTGGAGGCTAATTACTTTACAATATTGTAGTGGTTTTGCCATACATTGACATGAATCAGCCATGAATTTACATGTGTTCCCCATCCCGATCCCCCCTCCCACCTCCCTCCCCATCCCATTCCTCTGGGATACTACAGTCCATGGGGACACAACTTAGCGACTAAACAACAACTCAATAAAAAGTTCTACATATCAATCACCATGTACCAGGCTCTGTACTAGGCATAGCAATTAACCAAAGAACCTGATGTGGCCACTTCTGATTCCTAAACCTTTAGCATAATATAACCACTATCAGTAAATAGTTTAGGTTTTCTTACAGTAAGTGAAATAAGTGATTCCTTCAATTAAGTAGCAATTAGGAAAACAGTTTTATTGATAAGCTTTCTCCTTTAATTTTACATGCTTCATAATTATACCTACTACTAGAATGTTTATATAATTCTTATAATTCTTAAAAATTTGTATAAATTTTTTATTCTTATAAAATTTTAAAAGACATAATTCTTATAAAATTCTTAAAATCCAAACTATTAAAACAAAATCAAACTAAATATTATTTTGTAAATTGACTTGATAGACAACTTAAAATAATAATTATATTACATTTTTCTGCTTTGATAAAACTGTTATCAAATTATAATACATGGGTCAAATTGGTCTTAGAGATGATCATTCCTTTAGCCTACTTCAGAAACAGTAAAATTTTATAAAAATGTAAATACAAGACAGAGTGTACATATATAGCTCAAAGAAAAATGACTTTACCAACTTAACTGCAAGAACAGATGTTGGCTGAAATTATCAGTCAAAAGTTGGATATCTCAAAAGAAATATTTAAAAAGAATAGTTAAATTAATTTTTTTCTTATTCTAACAAATTCAAGTTTACTGTAGCTTGCAATATGATTATTTAAGTCCCATCGGCCTTATGATAGCCTAGCTCTAAACAACAGTACATCATTCGGGAAATATCCTCAAAGATCTTAGAACAAAATCAACTATAAAAACTGAAAAATACATTTAATATCACTAATTACTACATTTTCCTTTGAGGACACATCCTAAAGTTCCCCATGGATTGTCGCTGAATTAGGTCCACTTACTAGGTCATTCAATAAAATATTTACAGAATACCTTCTTGTGTATTTTGCAATTAAACTAGAGGTTCTAACTTCTGTGTACAAACAAGTCTTAATGGCTAAAACACTAGAAAATAGCAAAGCTGTATTAATTTACTTTCTTTAATGATGTTTATAATTCTACTTTTGAAATGGTAAGAACAGAAATGTTTCTTGATCGAATCATCTAGTTTGCTCAAAGGCTTCTTGACAGTATACGGCAATAAGAGCATGAACACTATTAATAAAACAGTGGCTCAATCTTCAGCGTATGGTAGCAAGGTTTTTTAAATTAAAAAAAAAAAACTTTTATAAAATACCAAGGAGTCCATGATGTATAACTTCAGCAGAATGTATAAACCTCATGAATATTAGAGCATTGAAAAATAAAAGACATAAACTGTACTCAAAGGACATACTGATATTATTAAATGGCACAGAAAAGTCCTAAAAGAATAAAATTGCCAAATGCATGAAAGTCAGTAAAGCACAGGTTCACAGCATTAGTAATTTAAAGACAGTAAGAATTTCATAAAGCTCTGATGCTTTGTTTTCCAAATTACATTTTATAATTCACTATACCCATGAAGTCAGGATTTGAAAATGGATAGGATTTTTATAATAGCTTATATCTTTATTACTATTGTCTCTACAATTACATCACTGGTTGCCCCTCTTGAAAACAGATACAACTAGCCACAAAACAGAGCTTAGTAAGACTATGTGTTAATATTTATATAACATTCAGTATTAAAATAATATGTACAAATAGCATATCAATGTATCAGAGTTTATATACATATGTACCACAGGCTCCTGAAACTTCTTTGACCTTCCCTTCCTTCCTTCAATCCACCACAGTGATCAACTTGGGACCGTAAAGCTACCTACCATGTTATGGAACATGTCTTCTATCTTTAGTGTTTTCAAGAGTAACTTCCATGGAACAACAGTCCTTGAGGAAATATTAATAGGTATAAAGTAAATCTGGGAAACAATTTATCTCTACCTTCCTATAGATTCACAATGCACCTTGATATACTAAAGGATCACAAAAATAGAAAGATATTAATCCACTGCTTATATAATTAAGCAAAGAACATTTTGTCTGTCATGTTCCCGTTAGCTTCTTGCAGAACAGGGTTCAAAACAATACCAGCATGGAAAGAGTATGACAAATATTCAATGTGTATTAGTGGGGAATGGTCTTCAAAAGAGCTCCATGATCCCAACGTATTTTAAAAACCACAAGACACTGTTATGGGTTGAAATAAATCTCTCCAAGAAGTTATGTTGGAGTGCTAACCCCTACTACCTCAGAAGTTGACTGTGATTTTGTGATTTTGTTGGAGATAGAGTCTTTATAGAGGTAAGCAAGTTAAAATGAGAAAGTGAAAGTGTTAGTTGCTCAATCCTGTTCCACTCTTTGCGACTCCATGAACTGTAGCCTGCCAGGTTCCTATAAACAAGGGATTTCCCAGGTAAGAATATTGGAGTGGGTTGCCATATCCTTCTCCAGGGAATCTTCCTGCCTCAAGGATCGAACCTAGGTCTCCTGCATTGCAGGCAAACTCTTTACAGTCTGAACCACGAGGGGACCTCCAAAATGAGATAAGGGTGGGTCCTAATCCAATATGACTGGTCTTCATAAAAAGGAGAAATTTAGGCAGAGAAAGAGACATTAATAGAGGGAAGGTGATGTGAAGACATAAGGAGAAGGCCATCTATCAGGAAAAGGAATGGAACAGATTTTTCCCACACAGACCTCAGTAGGAACTAATAACCCTTTGACAGCTTGATTTTGGACTTCTCTAGCATCCAGAATTTGACACAAAACATTTCTGTTCTTTTAAACTAGCCAGTTTATATTAATAGTAGCTTGTCACAGCAGCCCCAGGAAACAAACGCATCATCAATTCCTATCTTATACTCACATGTACATGAATAATAATGATAGTATTAGTAACATTGCCTAATGCTGGAGAAGATAGAAACAAGTCCTCTGTCTTCACTAAATATGAGTTATACTCACTAAAGTCAGGTTGTAAATTAAAAAGTGCCCTGTTCCCAACTACTTGTCTTAGAGTTGCTTTACTATACATGTTTTATTTACCCAAGATCTTCCCTGGTGGCTCAGGTGGTAAAGAATCCGCTTGCAATACAGGAGACCCAAGTTAAACACCTGGGTTAGGAAGATCCCCTGGAGAAGGGAATGGCAACTCACTCCAGTATTCTTGGCTGGAGAACTCCATGGACAGAGGAGCCTGTGGACATTTTGCTAAATGCCGTCAGAGTGCCTTTTTCATTTAACTATTTTGTTCTATTAAAATGAGAAATTCTTTCCTCCAAATGACAAAATACAAAGAAGCAAAATTTGCTCTCATTTTTTTTTTGCTTATTTTGCAAATCTGTGAAAGAAAACAAACATTTGAAATTCAAGATTATCAATTACCTTGAAAGAAGATACAGAAAAATATAAATGAAAAAGAAATTATATGAAAAGTAATTTTACTCTAAAAATAAACTTGAGGCCTCATCCCAAAGAGCTGTTGTTAGAAAAAAAGAATGAGCAGATAATTTAGTATGTTTCTGAGGCTCTCTGAAACAAGAAATTCAAGAAGTGGAAGAAAATAGACTTAAAAATGTCTGAAACTGCTCTACTGATTCCTGGCAAAAACAAGAAGACTCAGACTTTTGGGGGCAAAGTGGAGGTCCTCTACTATTAAATGGGATATGTGATGGTTATATTTTTATGTTATCTTGATCCCCCAAGTTAACCACTATTTCTGGATGTATCTGTGAGAGTGTTTTTGTATGAAATTAACTTTTGAATCAACAGACTAAATATAGCAGATTTCCCTCCCCAAACTGATGGGCTTCATCCAACCAACTGAGGGCTTGAACAGAATAAAAGAATGAGGAAGAAAGGATTCGTTCTTTCTGCTTGACGGTCTTTGACCTAGGATACCGGTCTGCTTTCAGATTCAGAATGGGACTGGAACTTACATCAACAGCTCTCCTGCTTCTCAGGCCTGTGGACTCAGGCTGGAACTATACTATTATCTCTCCTGGATTTCCAGCTTAACATCTACAGATCTTGGATCTCTGACTCCATAATCAAGTGATCGTATAAGCCAATTCTTGTTAGAGTAAATCAGTCAATCCTTGTATCTACCTACATATACATACATACATACATACACACACACACACACACACACATATGTATTTCAGAATAATGGTACCTCATTTAGGGAAGACTAAAGGATTATATTTTATTGCTTCTATTTTTTTAGAGAATCAGATTAACAGAGGATAGAAGGTGGCTTCGTATGTGAATTTCAACGATTATGAAAAAGAAGGATGATGGCATCGTAAACATGCCCATAATATCCTGTGAATACCTACACATTTACACTAATACACTAGATTCTAACTACTCTCTCAGCAGCATTATTTTTCTCCTCTTATACAAGTGACTGCACAATGCTTAGCTAATTGCATAAGCCAATACATTACAAATGAGTAAATGAATGAGCAAATAACTGCAGGGGTATAAATTTCAAGTAGGCTAAATGCTAGCAAGTTGATGTCATCTGATCATTTTGTTAGGGGAAGCACAATGACTGAAACTGCCCATCCTGGCCAGGCATCACAGTAACTATCTGCCTGAGTTATTTTACAACAGGAGTTCCGTTGAGGAACACGGAACTAACAAGCCAACACTAACCAGAGGCGTTCAGGAAAGGTCAAAAGGAAATACATGTCCGACCATCTCCCAGAATCCTTCTTGCTGGTACCATCCTGGCTGAGCAATGCGTACACCACCAGGAAGGACTCTGAGTCAGAATGATTAGCCAAAGACAACCCGGAAACTCATCCCATCGCCATAAAACCAGAGACTTTGAGCCACTTGGCAGAACAGTTCTCCTGGGTTCCCTTACCCTACTGCTCTCCACCCAGCCACCTCTGCCCAATAAAGTCTCTTACTATTCACTGCCCAGTGTAAGACAAGAGCCCACTCTCAGGCCCTGCAAGGGGTCCCCCTTCCTGCAACAATTTTATTTTGGAGAGTAACAATAGATGATAATTATCCTTTGTTTTTGAACTAATAGTTTAACTCAATAAATATAAAACAATTCTTTGGGAAAAGCAGAAAAAAATACTATTAGTTGTGGCTTATGGCTAACTATTCCTCTAAATTATATTTTGCTCTATTGCACAAATAATGTAAGTAAGAACATTTTCCTCCTAAGAATCATTTATATGACAAAGAATCTAAGCTTTAAATATATGGATTCTCACCATGTATAAATTGGCCTTTCCATAGAATATTATAAAACTATTTGAGATTCAGTTAAATGGCTAAATCTCAAATAGTGTTGGCTTCCCAATAGTTGTGAATGAAGAATGACAACTTTAGCCATATTAAATTCACAGAAAAATTAAGCCCTCATTATAGTCACATAAAAGCGCTTCCCTACACACAACCACCTTCTTCTGAGAAAAATAATTCACAAATTTTGAGTTGGAAAGTACAAACTCTTAAAGATAGAACAATAAAGATTTATGATTCTTAAAGACTGGTAGAACATGAACTCAAACTATCTTATATTTTGAGAAAAATACAGTTGAAATGGAAAAAATAACATTTATTTGTCACGTTGACTATATAATTTTTCTATAAAGGACAATTTTAAGTAGTCTGGGCTAGGTCACCATGGTTGCTAACTCACATTTCTTACCAGAAATTCTCTTTCCATTTGCTATAGTTCTATTTTTTTTTTTTTTTTTTGTCTCTGAGAAACTATAAAAAACTTATTCCCAATACTGAGTCAAAATATCCCCTGTAATTTTAAAATAGTGTATATTTAGTTCTCAACTAGTAAAATTTTTTACTACTTTATGATCCTCAGAAATAGTAAGAACTAGACACACTGATGATACATTTTTTATACATGTAATTAAGTTCAGGAAAATTAAATGATAACCAGTAATTTGTGAAAAGAATGCTTACTTTGGTATATTCTTACCTATGAAAGGTTATTACTAAAGAAATCATTTAATGTTCACCTTTAGTTGTAGTGCCTTCTCTAAGTTTTCAATCTTTCTTTCAGCTTTTCTCAGCTTCTTAAGTTCCTCTGAGTCTGCAAAAGAGCTCTTTGGGGACAAAGACCTTGAACGTTTCACAGGTGGTTCCTCGAGAATAAAACAAGGACATGGTTGAGCTAGTTGGAACACTGGATTATGAAAGACATGCAAAATTAAAGAACAAGTAATTTTGAATACTAATAATGAATTATAAAAAAAAAAATCCTGCATGGAATACCAGAGAAATAACAAGCGGAATTACCACAGTGCTACCGCTAAAGGTTTCTCTGTGACTCGTTAATGAGAATATTCATTTACATTTACATTGTTTCCTTCAGAATAATGATGTCCCATTAGGGAAGACTAAAGGGTTATGGACTCAGAAATGCAAGAAGCCTCATTACAAAGGAGGGGATGGAGGCCGGTCTAATTGCTCTACCAGGGTCCAAGGTTACACTTGATAGGACAACCTGAAACAAGAGGGAAAGGGTTTCTTTCCCTTTGAAATAGTTTAACACACTGTGAAGTCGAAGGAACAATATGCTTGAGGAATATAAATACAACAGACAGTAGATCTTACACCATAATGACCATATGGTCATTAACTATAATGTGGCTAACTAGAGACGAGAATGTGTGTTTATATTATGTACCGCTTCATATACCAATCTGGAGAAGGAATATGTGAAAGCAACTATTAAGCTGGGCAACATATTGCCCATACTTACTGCATGTCCTTATGAAAAAGAAAGAAAATTCTGTTCAAAATATCACTCTCATTTTCTTGATTTTTTTTTTAAAAAGCAATGAAACATCAAAGCAGTACATTTTGAAAGTTCAGCCATATAGCACAAAATCAAATTAGATTCTATTCAATTTTAGGATTTTTTTTCATTTAAATTAAGCTCAATGTGTGAAACTATTCCAAAATTGCAAGAAACATATATACATTTTTGTTTAAATATATACATATATAGATAATATATATAATAAAGCTCATTCTTCTGAAAATTACTAATAATATTAGAGGTAGTAAATAAGAATGCCACATAAACATGAGTCTCATTTTAAATATTTCTTTTACTAAGACAGTTTGTCTTACTCATAGGAAAATTCCAAAGAATGAGAAACAATTATCTTGAAAACATGATTTTCTACTTTAAAAAATATTTTCTACTGCTGAAGTAAAAGGTGTGAGAAATATACCTCTTAAATTCTTTACTTTTAGGAAAAGTTTATTTCAATTCATATAGAAAGAATATATTTATAGTCTGATATTCTTGACTTTTTATATTAGTCAATGTTCATAGAATCTTTTGCAGCATAACAAGAACATTCAATAAATACTATGAAAAGAAAAAGCTGAGACATTAATAAACAAGAATCACGGTACAAAAAATTTACTTATTCTCCACTGGTACAACTTTAACTCTGAAAATATGTAACTGCATGTATTAATATTACATTTCAATTTATAATTTATATTCCACATGAGTAGTATTTTAAATATCACATCCAAATGAAATAGAAACATTAAGATATATTTTTCTTCTGATGAAAAATTAGAACATTGAGTTAAGGGCTAATACCACATTAAAATTTCTACTTAGATTAATTTATCTATAGATTAGATAGATGAGGCATACTTAGCAAAACTTTTTAATGTAAGAATGTTAATTTACTGCAAAAGAGGCATATTACTACTAATAAATTTAGTTAATTAAATTAGGAAGATATTACTCAATCTTCAAAAAGGGAAAACTTGCCAGTCTCAATCATGATTTTATAAAACATCTGACACATGATATTTTTTAAAAGCTTTCAGAAATATAAACAGAGAAGTAAATAATGCTGTTCATTTTTTAACTTCATCACTTGTCTTGCCAGCCTTATCCTGACAAATTCACAAAATGACCAATGTCCCTACCTTACGTTTCCCTTCAGTATTTGTCAAGATGCTCTTGTCTGAGGAACCTTTGTTGGTAGATCTGTTCTCTGACAGTTTTTCATTTGCTATTTTCAGTTTCTCCTGTAAATACTCAATTTCAGACTTCTGTGAGACCATTAAGGTTTCTAAGCTCGATAAAGATGGCTGTTGAGAAACCTGTTTTTAAAAAGTATGTATCTTACATTATTTACATATTCATGCAAATATTTATATGTTATTATATTATATAAATCATAAGTATTCCAAGAAAGAATATTTCATTTCAAAAATAAACTATAAACCTGCATTAGCTAGGCTTCTATCCACCTTATAGAATGGCATTTTTCAATAAAATAACCAAGAGTTTGTATACAAATTTTTATAAATACGTCTGTCATGCAGATTTTTAGAAGAAAAAATTTAAAGCTTGGAGGCATGATATATACAACTTATCTTTAAAATTATTTCAAATTAATGATTATATACATAAGTATTTCCTCAGTAAATACTCAATGCAATACCACTGAATATAAGCCTCAGAAAAGTGAACCAACAGCACTATAGTAACTAGCTTTTAATGCATTATAATTTATTAATAACAACTCAATTGAGATTTTTTAAAGTCAACAGAGTTTACATTATTCTCCTTTGAAACTCATTCCCATGTCACATAAACTGTTAATGGTAAGCACCACATTTTAGCAACAGAAATCACAGGAAAATTAAGTTTATAGGAAACCTGTTCATGAAAACTAACATTCCACAAAATTGTACCACCATTTTAACCAAATATATTTGAGACCATTAAAATCCATGTACACACATTATTTCAAAATAACCATTCATTCACACACACACACAAAACAACACTAGATGATAGTGAAACAATGTATTTGTTGATTTCCAGGAAAGAAAAGTCAGTACTTATGATTTTAATATTATTAATGTGGATGCAATAGCCCTGAAAAGGGTTTCATTTAAAATATGGATAGCCCCATCCTTCCTAAATGATATTTCTAAGGATTATAAGAAAAACCTGTATGCTTAAGTTTTCCAAACTAACAATGAGAAATATTATTTTTTTCTAAGTTTGATTACTTTTTTCTTATTTTTAGGGGATAGGCATATTTTTCCTAATCCTAACCTATAATTTTTATAAAGAGAAATATCATCTCAGTATACTATCATCATACTATTACATTATACTATCCATTATAATCTATTATATATATAGTATAGATATATATATTATCTATATATATATGGTATACTAGATATAGTATAGCATACTATACTATACTATTATATTATACTATGTTATACTATAACATACTACTGTACTTTCCTCATACATAAGTCACCTGATATGTTTCCCAATCTTTATTCTGTCACAACACTATATATTTTTCTCGGAATGTTGTTTATATTTTATGTTTACCACACTTATAACATTAATTTATACTCTATTAGCTTGAATTGAACATCAAATTAAAATAGTTTAAGCACTTTTTTCCCAAACTCTAAAAGACTTTTGACCTATTCTTTCTCTTCTTTAAACCACTGTACATCTTTTATTTATTCTTTCCTCTTTTGTAACAACTTTATGATGCTTCTAAATATTTCTTTTGATTGGCCTGCCAATCTGAACAATTTACAAAAGCTACCTAAACCTCAGAACAGGAGTTCTGGCTTTGTTAAATAAAATTATAAAGAATATATTAACATTCCATCATTTGCCAAAGACATTTTAAATAAATTTTCAAAGTCAAACAAAAATTTAGAAAAAAACAAGAAAAACATGACTTTAGTTATATTGTTATATCCAATAAGCAATCCTGTGCTCTTTAACAAATGAGTTTTCTAAGTCATTAGTGGGTTATAATACAATAGATAAGAACATAAAAAAAAACATGAATGTTTGGTCAAGAAGCTGCAATCAGAAATAATTACAATATTTATCAAGATACTGAAAAAGTCCAACAGTGGACACTGCTACTATAATAATATAAGATTTCTTATTTAGGCACCATTCCTTTAAAATTCCACAGAAAATAGTAACAGAACTTCAAAACTAGAAAATACTATTCAAGTAGTACTTAACTCAAGCTCACATAGGAGTCATAATGTAAATAAAAAAGTAAAATGAGCTTGTTTTTAAATTACAGCTTTAGAATTCCTTCAACAGGGACACTTTGTATTCATGTTGAACATACAGATATATACTTTACTTTCACAAGGAAACTTATGCATGTTACCAGTTTTTCAGAAGTGTAGTCTTCTCTCCCTTGTCCTTTAACCCTTTTGCTAGGGATACATGCAGAAGAAGTATTTCACTTTTATTGTAATATGACCACTTTTAAAATAATAAGTAAAATGAAATATCAAGTCACAGTCACTTTCATTTCTGAGGGAATAAGGAGGGTAATTGTGGTAGTAGCTATTTAGCGACAGCCAGTTGTTTTCATAGAGAAAAGTGGTGCACTAATGCCAGATTTACTGATTTTTCAAAAGAATGGAAGAATTCAAATTTCTAAGAGAAATCTAATTTTAAAAGGTTGGCCAGACTCAGTTTGTGACTGTTGTAGCTTAAAAACATGGTGGTGGGACTATAAACAGGTAGACATTTCCTACGGAAATTTTGAATATGAATCAAAGAACAGAAAATTGTACCCAGCTTTTAACTTTGTTCTAATCATGCTGAAGGTTGATAAAGATATACATGATAAATGCTGAGTGAGGAAAGCACATGTTATAGAAGAATACAGAATACTGTACAGAAATAGGTTTCACCAAACCCTGAAATTTATAGCATTATTTCTGAATGGAGGTAAATTTTCATCATACATATATGAATTTCCTTAATTTTTAACATTGAACATGGAACATTTCACTAAATAGTTTTAAAAATGTATTTTTTCTGCAAATAAAAGGAATAAAAAAATCAGTGTAAAAATTTCAGTACAGACAGGGGAAATATAAATGAAAGTCTCTCCATAATATCATCTCTCTGAATTCACTAATAATAAATTTGGAATATACTTCCCATACTTTACAGAGAAAACTGTTTTAATATACACTTTAAATTGCTTTTTTATTACTAACTTTATTTTTTAGAACAGCTTTATATTTACAGAAAAACTGAACAGATAATAAAGTGTATCCCGCTCCCACCTACCTAGTTTCTCCTATTATTAACAACTAAAATGAATATGATATATTTATTAAAATTAATGAACTAATTTTCATATATTATTTTGACTGAATTCATTACTTTATTCAGATTTCCATAGTTTTCACCTAATATCCTCTTCTGTTCAAGGATACCACATCATTTCACCTGTCATGTCAGCAACTCGGCTGGGATAGATTCTCAGACTTTTATTTTTGCTGACATGGACAGTTTCACAGAGTACTATTCAAGTTTATCATAGGATGGCCCTACATTGGAGTTTGTCTATGTTTTTATCATGATTAGACTGTGGTTATGAATTTGGGGACAGAATATCACACAGGCATCATACCTAATCAAGGGTACACACTTTCAACATGTTTTGACTAATGACATAACCTGATTACACTACCAAATTAGTGTTTGTCAAGTTATTCAGATGTAAAGTTATTCTTTTGTCCTCCATACTATACTCATGTAACCTGCTTTTTAAATTCAATAATTACATACAATTATTATAGGTATAATATATATAAGGATATGTAGTTACTTATTCTAACCCATTTTAAGTGCTGTTTTAGAGGTTTAGCAATATCAAGACAATCAATCACCTGTCTGTGGAAGTTCATTGTATCTATTGCCCTTAATAAATAGAATCTTGAATCTTTGAAAATTTAACTTTTCTTGCTAAGAATTATAGTATTTTATAAACTTTTTTCTCTAACATCAAAAATCCTTGTGTACCTTTTAGTTTACAGTCTTGGAAGATAATGGTATGGTGCTAGACCATAGATAATCTGATAAGAGATGATCAGTGGAGTATGCATTCAAATGCCTCCAAATGGAACTAATCTCTTCAAATTAACCATTATTAATACATAACTTCTCTTTCACATTTATTCACAGAGGCAATTTTGATCAAAAACTCCTAGGAAAATTTTGAATAGAAAGAGGAGGTGAAGCCTTGTGCCAATTACTATTAAAATATTATATAAATTAAATACCTAGTTAAGATGCTTTAAATTCAAGCAACATTGTATGGCATTATTAAAATAGAGGCTGAGTGAATACTGCCTAATAAATAGAAATTTTTTTTCACATTTCACACAGATATGAAGAATTATAAGTTAATTTGTTTTGCCCTATTTTTATTTAATTTATACTAATTTGCTTTACTACTGAATTAAAATAATAATAACTAGCATTTAATGAAAAGCATTGAGTACCTAGCTTTAGGTAAGCATTTCACAAACATTGTCTCACTTATTTACAAAATTTATGAATTCCAAACTTATCAACATATAGAATAGTCTATTGCAAAACAAAAATATTTGCAAAGGACATGTACTTCAGCAAAAAGAAAAAAAAAAAACAGTTTCTCTACAAACAATACCTCACTGGAAATTAAGTATAAACACATGTGTGTAATAGGTGTATATATAAAATATATAACCCCTATGAATATATATATATATCAGAATATATATGTGTATCTGAGAAACTGACAACTTGAACAACAATTCTCTGAAAGGCAACTCAAATTCTCTTGAAAAAGTATTTTAAAACTGCACATATATAATTTTATTCTCATGAAATCCTGAATCTGTACAAAAACTTAACATTTTATTTAAAATTGACTTCAGAAATTCAGAAATATATCCATTGCCAATTTAATAAACATCATTAGCTGAATCATCCATAACCTGAAAACAGATGGCTTCAATAATAATCATAAAATTTAAATTAATAAAAGAAGAAAACTTTTAAATCAACATGATATCACAAATTAGTCTTTTCACAAAAGTTCACAAATGGAGCTAGGTGTACCAACTTAAACTTACATATCCCTTCTAGAAAGACTATGAGATGGAGTAATAAATGTCCAGTATCAACAGCTAGCTAGCACTCACCTTTAAAAAGTACAAATAATTTCATTTCTTCCATCCGCTCACTTTTAACCCAAACATACTCAGATTACATTTAGAGAGAATAAAATTAATTACGCTTA